TGCACGTGTGCCTAGTTCCTGGTCAAGCGGCCCCAGGCGCGAGGAAAGAAGGTGTGCCCCCAGCCACCTTTCCAATCTCGTCCTTTCCCTTCATTCTCGCCTGGAACCTTCCCTATCGGAGAGATCCCCTCCCCCCCCCCAATCGTCGTCTCCACTCCGCTGCTGCATCAACAAGCGAACATCGTCACCAGCTACACAATAAACTTTCACCACTACATGGGCATCACTCTCACCCTCACCCTCACCCTCACATTCAATTGCGCCCTTGAACCTCTGTCTATCTAACTAAGCGCCGTGACATCAAAGCTCCGTCTTGGGTTGTTTTGATTCTGGAAACACCGACTTCTTCTTTTACATCATTACTATTCCAGACACGACAACCGCAACAACACCACCACCACCACAACGGCCAACTGTCGCAGCCTGGAAGACACTCCGCAATCATGGAGCGTACGCCTTCTCCGCCCCGTCGCATTCACACACCGCCTGCGCCAGGAACCAGTTACGAGCCGTTTTCACCGCGTCGGTCCAGCAGAGTGGCCGCCCAACGCGACGCTCACCTTCACCATGAGCAACCCGCACCACGGACCAGGCGCGCCGTGACTCCTACAGCGTCGAGCAAGCCATCTATTGTGCGCGCTGCCAACTTGGCCCTCTCACCTCCATCCTCGCCCGTCTCTCCACAACACCACGCCCGCTCCCCTCGCTCAACACGTCGCACCCGTCTGGAGACAGCCGATTCAGACTGCGACCACGCTGCACCTACACCTGCACGTCGCTTCTTGTCCGCCATGCCATCTGTAAGTAGTGTGCCGCACCGCCTTTCAAAGCCACAAAGCACGCTAACAGTGCTGTAGGACATGCTACCAACTCCTGTAAAGACACCGCGCAAGCGGCAGATTGGTGACTTGAGCTCAACCTCTCGCATCTTGTTTCCCCAGCGGCCTGCCACTATTGAAGAGGTTGTACCTACGCCGCGCAAATCTCGCAAGACAAAGAACTTGTTCACCCTTGAATCCTTTTCTGCACACATGGACGAGGAAAGCGAGAAAATCCCCATCTTCACTGATTCCAAAGAGCGCATTCCTACGCCTGGCGCGCCTGATGAGAATCCCTTTCTCACTCCGAAGAAGGGCAAGGGTCGCGCAAAGACGACACGTCAAAAGTCAACAAAGGAAACCGAGGAGCGCACCGCCAGGCTGAACGAAGCTGCAAAGCGTGACGAGGGCATGGTCTACATCTTCCGTGGAAAGAAGATTCTCCGTCGCTTCCACAACGGACAGTCAGACGAAGACTCCGCGCCCGAGGATGACCAAGAGCTGTCTGCAGACGAAAGGGCTATGCGTCGCCAAGTTGGTTATGAGGCTCACCGCCCTCTGACACGCTCATCCGTGAAGCCCAAACTGCTCTTCCAAAAAGAGATCCAGGAGCGCAAGATTGCAAACGGCGAAGAGGAGGACGACGAAGAGGCTGTTACTGATATTGAAGTCCCGGTCCCCGCAACGCCGAGCCGTAAAAAGGGCAAGGCCGTTGCTTCAGAGCCCATGCTTGCAACCACGCCACCGCCGACTGTCCGCAAACTGAGAAAGGGTATGTGACACCCTATGAAATGAGATGGATTCATTACTAAGATTGTCTAGAAATCTCCTTTGACTCATGGTCGCGTGTCAAGTCATCATCGCGCAGCTCTTCTCAGCCAAGCAAGAAGCGCAGCGGCGAGGTGTTGGAACGCGAGACGGGCGACAAGCGCGCGAGAAGTGAGCACTCCACTACTCCCATGTCCCTTTGACGTCATCTAATGGCTTCGCAGCCCGTTCTTGAGCGTTGACCGCATCATGTCAAGAGTGAATAGCGGCACGGTCTATGTTGCATGCTGACCGCGTGAAGGCGTCAACATTGCTCACGAAGACGTTGCGTGGCACGGCACGTCACAAATGACCTGTGTTGCGTTGATTTTCCCTACAGCGATGATGGTCTGTATAGCGTTTGCTTATCAATTAAAGGATACCCACGATTGAATCTAACTGGTGATTGTAATGAGGGTGATGGATTCATGTTTGCCTCTGCTTGAATAGGGCGGAAATCTTGTGAGGGGTTCTGATTGGCGTGTCGTGCCGTGTGCTTTTGGCAGTGGCTGGATGGTGATGATGCTTGTCATGAGAGGAGTTGTTGTTTGTGCTTGGGTGGGAGGGGGGACGGGGATGGCGAAAGGGGATAGGATAGGATAGGATAGGACAGTAGATTGAGTAGCGTAGTAAAGAAGACTAAATCACAATCACACTGTCCTAGATCTATATCGCCTTCAATCGCATCACATGCCCCCCTCGAAACCCTTCCCATACACACCCTCCAATCTCAACCCCTCCTCTCCACCTTTCCAAAAAACGCACTCATCTTCTTCATCCCACTTGTATCCACCTTGCGCAGAGCCCTAACGCCCCTCCCCTCTGCCCTCTTCTTCCGTTCCTCCTCCTCCTTGCGCCGCCTCTTCTCCTCGCGCTCGGCCACGCGCTCATCGTCTTCTTGCACTGCGCGCTTGCGCGTCATGTTGTCGGAGATGCTGCGCTGGGCGGCGGCAGCGGCGGTGAGGGTGGAGAGGTGGGCGAGGTGGGTTGTTAGGGGGGTGAAGAGGGGGAGGGGTGGGAGGGCGGTGGCGACTGTCGGGGGTAGGTAGGAGGTTAGGTAGGAGAGGGAGGTGCGGAGGCGGAGGAGGGGGGGGATGGTTGGGGGGGTGGAGGGGGTGGGTTGAGAGTCGGTGGGTTGAGAGTCTGACGGTGGTGTGGTGGTGGATGTGGAGGGTGTGGGTGCGTCGTCTGGGGTTGTTATTGCTGTTGTTGTCGTTGATGATGACGATGATGATGTTTCAATGGTGGTGGTGCAAGCTGTTGTCCCGGTGCTGGTCTCGGTGCTGGCGTCGATTACGCTTATGGTGCTGTCTTCACGCCGTATGCTCATTACCGGCACTTCGAGCGGCGTCTTTACGAATTTCTCCTCGAGCGAGGGCGGCAGTCCGCGCTTGACCATGCGATGGGCTTTATTGACGAGGACGTCGCTGAGTTTGGTGTGCGAGAGGCGGTACATGATTTCGTCGGCTGCGGTTACGGTGTCGCAGACTGCCTGCATTCGCTTCTCCACCTTGTCCTTCCATGACGGATGTTGCGACAGAAGAACTTTCCAGTGGTGCGAGGAATTGGACAGCTTGTCGAGGTAATCGTCCAAGGCTAGGAAATGCTGTTTTGTGTCTTTTGCGGACTGGGGCGCCAGCGCCGGTAGTATGAGGAAGAGTAGGTCGATGGGCGTCGCGATGAACAAGTCGGCGGCGCTGGTGATGTAGCCGCTTCCTATTCGCACAGAGCCACTCTCTTCTGTGTCGACAGGCTCGCTTTCTGCATCCCCCGTGATCAGCCAACTCTTGCAGTCCCTCTTTGGCGCAGCGATGCGTGTGAATTCGTAGAAGCCTTTTTGTGGACAAAAGTAGTAGCGCGACGGTGTGCCATTTGCGGGATTGTCTAATGTGACTATGCGCGCGTCTTTGGAAGTGTCTTTTGGCAGGACGAACAGTTTTGGTGGGTTGGTGGTGGACTTGGGGAGGGGTTTGACGGTTGACGGAGCGGGTTCTGGGGATGGTTCTTTGGTTTTCGCCGTAGGTTTGGAGCGTGTCCGGGCCATTTTGCTTTGGGAGAGATGACGAAATTATGTATTGGTTCCGTGCAATGTTGTTGTCATGTCATTGAATCCAAGAGAGGGATGTGAGTAGTGCTACTGTTCCTGTTGGCATGCAGTTGATGTTCCGAGGGGAGAGAGATGGTGGTCGATTCGCAAGTCAGCAAGTCGCGTCCCAAGGAAGCAAAACGCGTCCAAAAGCGCGTCAACCCCTGCCACTTTTTCGGTTTCAGGATGAAGATGAAATGAGTGAACTTGGTCTGGTTCAGTCACTCCAGTGTGAATTGTCCCTGGGCCTGTCCCTCTGTAGGAATACCGGTACGGTACTCTAGGCTATGCACCTCCGCTTTTAGCGTCAATCCGGGTCAACACAAACAACGCCAACAACCGCTGCGCCCATTCACTCCACCCTTTTTTTGCCTGTCCTCGACCTCGTCGTCCCGTTTCAGTCGAGCGTGTGGATCCGTTAGTACCTACCTCGATAGGGAGCCAGTCCAGCCGCACTTTGGAGTGAAATGGATGTGTTAGTGCATCTGCATCACCGCAACCATGATTGTACGGGAGAGCCCCAAGTCTAGACGAGGTACCGGTAAGGAAAACACAATCCGGGGGCTCGTCGCATCGCATCAGCACTGACACCGTTTTAAAGTTCAGAACAACCAGCCCAACTGGCCGCCGCAGTCGCCTGCCGAAGCCCTCCTTAGTTCGCCATCGGGTCGCAAAAAGTACGAAAGTCGGCGAGAGCGCGGTTCAGTGTCACCCTCCCCTAGCAAACGTCGCCCCATGTCCCTCCACACAACAAACGATGACACAGAAGAGGAAGACGAAGAAACCCTGCAGTTGAAGCTTCAGGCAATCGAAGCAAGACTCAAGATCAAAGCCCTGCAGAAGAAGAAAGCAGCCGACAGCGAGAGTTTTGGCAGCAGTGCCCCTTCCTCCAGCGCCGACAATGCGCAGGCCGCACGAAGACCAAACATGTTCCAGCCCGCCGCCGATATTCAAGTCCCCCACTCGCCTGTGCGGATCCGCCGTGCGCCAGAGGAACAGAAAAGCCCGGCGCGGGTCCTACTCGGCATCGACAAGGGCCTGAAGGCGCGGGACATCAGTCTGAAGCGACCGGGCACTGGTATGAGCGGCCGACTCTCACGAGCAGATTCACAAAGAAGATGCGAGACGCCCAAGATCAAGTCGTTCAGCGAACGCATTGCCGAGAGTCGCATCAAGGAGAAGGAACGTGAAGACAAGGAGATGAAGATCGAGACTAGACGGAGCAGAGGGTTCGGCCTTCACAGCATCGAGGGACTAAGAGAGCGCACAGCGTCGAGACCAGAATCCTCGTTGAGTGCAGGCACCACGTCTTCGCAAACCATGTTACCCCCACCCGCGAGAGGGCACAGCAGAGCACAGAGCCAATCGAATTCAACTCCTCAACCTCCATCTACACCACGTCCTGGACTCACACGATCTTCCTTCTCCGATGCCTCACGCCCACCTTCGTCAGCATCCAAGTCGTCTTTCAGCAGTTTTGGTTCAACTTCAACGGCAGCAAAATACGCCGAGATCTCACAGCGAGACAACAGCACAGAAGCAGTAAGCTTCGAGGCAAACTCGGGTCTACATCTCAAGTCACGAGAGATGCCGCACAATGATGTCACCCGAGCGCTGGAGGGCAAAACAATCCTGACCATTCCGCAATTACTGAAGACTGTCAGACCACCAGACTACGATGCACCGGATTACGAGAACGACTATGTTGTCCTAGGTGTCATATGTGCCAAGTCAACACCTCACAGCACCAAGAACGCAGCCAAAGACCAGTCCAAGAGCAATCAGGAACAGGGTGATACCACAAGCAAGTTTATGGTCCTAAAACTGACCGATTTAAAATATGAAATGGACCTCTTTTTGTTCGACACTGGCTTCTCGCAGTTCTGGAAACTGCCTCTTGGAACACTAATCGCAGTACTGAACCCGGACATTATGCCGCCACGAGGCCGTGACAATGGGAAATTCAATCTGAAGCTCTCCAGCTCCGACGACACGATACTGGAACTTGGCCGCGCCCGAGACTTGGACTTTTGCCATGCCAAGAAGGCGGACGGTCAGGGATGCAAGGCTTGGATCGACAGTCGCAAAACCGAATACTGCGAATTCCACATTCAGCTGCAGGTTGAGAAAAGCAAAAGAGGACGCATGGAGATCAATACCATGACTGGCATGGGCAATGGCCCACGGGGCGGCGGCATGTTTGGACGGTTCAACAGGGGGGCGCCCAAGGGTGCTGAATTGAAACGAGAAGGACGCTATCATGACCGCGAACTTCACGAGACAATCTATATTGCACCAGCACCGGGTGGTGCAGCCAGGCTCATCGATCGGGACCGCCAGCAGTGGGAGGGCGGTGTGGGCCGGGAAGACCGCTTTCGCAAGCAGCTTGCTGAGAAGGAGAAGGAGAGAGAGCTCGCAAAAAAGCTGGGGACAATGGGTGATGGCAGTACAGGAGGCGACTACATGAAGGTCAAGGGAGCAGGCACACAAAACCTACCCGCACGTGGCTATACATCTGCTCAAGGATCGACTGGCATGAAGGCAGAGAAGGCGAGTGACACGGATTACAGCAGTCTGCTCAACCGCACATCGGCCGACGTGTCCCTCGCACCTGTTAAGCGCAAGCGGACGGCGTCCACCAAGTCGACCACAACAAGCGATCCGGTTGGTTGGGGCTTCAGATATGGTCGCATCCCATCACCCAAGAAGGTGATACAATCTGCTTTCCAAGGCACCCGAGACGCGAGTCCCGTCAAGAAGAAAGCGCGATTACTACTGCCAGAGAAGGGCATCCGTGAGCCAGGACGAGAGAGCCTGGGTGGTCTGGACATTGGGTTGATTGCGGCCATGGATGATGACGATGATGATTTGGAAGTTGTATAATGCTTTGCGATATCCCTAACAGACACCATAACGTAGGGGGCCATGGTTGGCAATGGGTGGTTGGTTGTTGTGGCGTTTGATTTGCGGCTTGCTGATTGGTTGGGGTTACGGTACGTTAGGCGAGTTAGCCGCCATTCCGACTTTTCTGGTCTTGGGCCTTGATGTCTTGAGGATTCCATGTTGCCTCGCTTTACGAATTTCCTTGCTGTCACTCTCAAGGGGCTCTCATAGTCGTCTCGAATTCTACTACCCGCCATTTCCTTTGTAGCAGCATCATTACTCCGGAGGACTTCTTACTGTAGGCATAAATAGAAACTGCGTAACCAAAACAAGCGACATTGCCGCAAGCCCAGCACGGCAGATCGTTGACAAAACACGAAACTCGGGAAATTGCCCCTGGCAAGACATGGCAGTCCAGGAGACCAACGCGGATGACACGATTTACTGTCTTCTCAATTACGAAGACCCTTATGTGCAGCCCCTCATACTTTCTGCCCTCGCCAAACGTCTTGCCCAATCATCCTACAAACTCATCACATCGCTCGACAAACTCCCCTCGCCTTCGTCACACCTTCTCCAGTGGGTCCAATATGAATCCATCGACTTTGACCATCTCGTGTCGCACTCAGCAACGTCCATGGCGAATGCATATGTCATCCGCAAAGCCCTGATCCGCAAGCACTATCTCAGCACGACCGTGGCCAACTGGGTGACCAAATACCCTGAATCTGTACTCGGCAAGGGGGTCAAACCAAGTGTAGAGTTTGAAGTCGACTATGCGCAGTTTCTGGATGATGCTCTCGTTGAGGCTTGGGAGTTGAGGGAGAGTTGGCAAAGGGCCGAGGGAAAGGAAGAGGAGGAGAGGGAGTGGTGGATTTTGAAGCCGGGGATGAGCGAGAGGGGCCAGGGGATCAGATTGTTTTCCACTGAGCAGGAACTGACGGAGATTTTTGAAGAGTGGGATCCTGAGAGCGATGAGGAGGACGAAGAGGAGGACGCGAGGAGTGATGCTGGGCATGGTGGGCGGGAAGTGGACAAGGAAGAACAAGAAGGCAATGGCATTATAACATCGCAACTCCGCCATTTCATCGCACAGCCATATATACATCCTCCCTTATTGCTGCCGTCCCCTTCTTCAATCAAGTCTCCAACATCAGCATCAGCATCACGGAAATTCCACATCAGAACCTACGTCCTCGCAACTGGCGCACTCACAATCCACATCTATCGCCCCATGCTCGCTCTCTTTGCAGCCCGCGACTACATTCCGCCCTGGGACCCAAGACTAGCCACGGACCGCGACGAAGCCATGAAAGCACACCTCACCAACACCTGTTTACAAGACAGCGGTGATCGCGAAGGCTCCGTTGGACTATTCTGGTCGCTCCCAGACGATCTGCCTCGGCAACCTGATTTCTCGTCCTCGGCTTCCAGCAACAAGACTGATACGCTCGTGCACGAGACGGCAGGCAAAGACTGGAAAGACCGAGTCTTTGCGCAACTCTGCGCCATCACCGGGGAGACGTTTGAAGCTGCTGCGAGGGGCATGTCGATTCACTTCCAGCCGCTGCCCAATGCGTTTGAGGTGTTTGGCTTGGATTTCATGGTTGGTGTTGGCCAGGACGGCGGGCTGGGGACGTGGTTGATGGAGGTGAATGCGTTTCCGGATTTCAGGCAGACTGGAGATGAGCTGAGTGGGATGATTGAGGGGTTGTTTGAGGGGGTGGTGGACAAGGCTGTTGCGCCGTTTTTTGGTGCAGAGAGACAGAATGAGCAGGGCAATGGGGATATGGTCAAAGTACTGGATATTGATCTGGGACGGCGGCGGTGATGCTGTGGAAGGATTCGTGGTCTGGTTGGAACGCTATGGGTGCATTCTCGTCCAGAGCAATGGACTGCCGGTAGTTACCGGTAGTTAGTACCTATCAGAGTTTCACAAGCAATGGCTATGCCACATCATTTCCCATTCTCTCCTTCCCGCACCCCCACAATCTGGTCCGCACAACCGCAAATGCCACTCAGGTCGATCGCCCTTGTACTGTCCGAGATAGCAGGCCGAGAGGGCCGTCCGAACCAGCAAGCGGATATC